ACTGGTAGTTCTGACTTTGGTTCGATTCCAGGTAAACGGGCTGGCTCCATGATCTTTTTCGTGGTTTTCCCCACGTGTAATGTATATCCAAGCCAGTTCCCCTTAGAAAATCCTCGACAAAGTTATCGCACAGAACCTTTCGTAGACACGGTGTATATCTGATGCTTTATTTCCTATAAATAATTTACTTTATTCAAGTTTTGGTATTTATGAACACTTTGTATAATTTTTCAAGTTTAATTTGTAAAACAGATTAAATATAATCAAATTTTAAATAAATATATATGCAATTATCGAGTTTTCGAAATGAAAGTGGGAACAGTTATCGAGTATAGCTGAAAGGGGTGCATGAACAAAATACACTCATGTCCATAAATTAAGGATAATTAGAAGTCACGCGGAAATCGAACTCTAAAATAAATATATCACCTGTAAAATCACTACACACATCTTCAAGAATCATATGCAAATTTCAGGAAGGATCCAGATGACACGGATGGTACGTCACAATGACGAGAGTGTAAGAGAGTGATATATAAGGAATACAGGCAAAGAAGTAAAATTGTTCTCAGGCGCTATAGAAGCATTTCAGTGCAATAACCGAATAGTTATGATACAAAGGACGCATTTGGTGATTTTTTACGTGGTAGAATTATCGGCCGTCTGGAATGTCGACGTACCCAACTGGAAGTATCAGACGAACTTGGAATTGCCCACAGTGTCATTTTCAGGCTTTGGCAACGATTCCAAGATGATGGTAATGTGAGTAGACGTCACAGCACAGATCGCCCCAGAGTTACAACGCCGAATGAGGACCGGTATTTGGCAGTTACTGCCAAAAGAAACAGGCGGAGCACAGCCTCAGACCTGTCTCGTCAGCTCTCTTCAAGCCACTGGTACGACAATTTAAGGCAGACCGTGTACAGACGCTTAGGGCAGATTGGTCTATATGCTCGTTGACCTGTCAGATGCGTTCCACTTACTGCAACTCACTGTCGCTTGCGGTTAGCCTGGAGTAGAGAGCATGCATTGTGGACACCGCAACAGTGGGCTTGTGTGATGTTTTCCGACGAATCCAGGTTTAGCTTGCAGTCTGATTCTCGCCGGACTTTCATATGGAGAGCTCCAGGTACCCGTTACCACCAAGAAAACATCATTGAACGACACCGTTACGGTGGTGCAGGAGTGCTCGTTTGGGGTGGAATTATTCTGGGTTCCAGAACTGACCTGCATGTTCAAATTGGAACCATGACAAGCCAAATCTACCGGGACGTCATTCTGGAACAACATGTACGTTTGTTTCGGGGCGCCATGGGCGCACAATTTGTGTTTATGGATGACAACGCACGTCCTCACCGTGCAAACATCGAAGCAAATGCCTGCAATCGGAGGATATCACCCGTATGGACTGGCCAGCATTCTCACCGCACTTGAATCCAGTAGAGCACGTGTGGGACATGCTTGGCCGACGAGTTGCAGCCCGTCAACCTCCTCCTACATGTCTACCGGACTTCAGAGAGCATTGCTTTTTGAGTGGTGTATAATCCCTCAAGATCAGATCGATAATTTGATACTGAGCATGCCTAGGCATTGTACGGACTGTATTGCATCGTCTGGGAGACATACAATGTATTAACAATCATACCAACCATGTAATATTGGTTTTTTGTAAATAGGTTTTTTTTTTTTTTTGTAATTTGCTCCATGGAGGAAAAAATCGCTAATTTTTTTAATATCAAACGTATAGCATCTTTACCTTTTGTTTAATAAATAAGCTTTACAAATAAGTCAAATTTGTTTTGCTTCTAACTCTTCCTTTGCCTGATTTTGCATTATCCTTAATTTATGGAAACGAGTGTAGTTAGAGAAGCACTTCATTATACCTTGGACAAAATAACTTAAAATTGAACCTCCCACTTCGAAGCTTCTACTAAGAGGAAAGTAAAATTAATACCTGCCTTCAGAGTAAATCGATGCAAGTGGATTATCTCGTCCCCCTCGGGCATTTAATGCAACTTGAGGGGGCAAAAAAGCATTATTTGTGGAATGGACTAATAAAAGCTGAAGTAAATATTTCTCTTATATACCTCATTTGGATGCGACATAGAAACACTGAAGTTCGATTTTTAATGAGAAATTCACGAAAATATTCTTGAAAAATCTGAACTATGTTCAAAAAGCGATGATTTTAACAACATTTCATCAGCCTGAATTTTAAATTTTGACTTTCATATATTTTGTTCAATAAAGGTTCACGTTTAGTACGTTTTAACTTGCTTAAAATTATTTTACTGGGTAACTAACATTTCGAGTAACTTACTATGCAATAAATTCGACTTCAACGAAAATAATATTAAGTTTGCGATGCTAAGTGAAATTTCCTGAGAGTTTTGTTAAAATTAAAATACTAAATAACTAAGCTGCCTACCACATGACTTCCTTATAAGGTCTATTAAATTAGACACATTTTTTGCTGTTCTTGATTTAAACTTATTTCCTCGAATTTCATTAGAGATATAGTATTTCTTCTTAAAGGAATTAAATTCTCACTTCGTGGCAAGGCAAAAATACATAAAAATTCAAAACATCTTCATTAAAAATTGTAAAATACAGGAAAACCTAACATCAGTTTCCGTTAAAATCAGGTAAAAAAAATATAGTTAAAATTAAATTAAAAAATGATAGTTTATTATAGTTTCAATGTCAACACAAGCAATTCGACCAAAGGGCAGGAATACAAAATTTTTGGTGCACAAAATTTTAATAAAGTTAATTTTAATAAAGTTTAAAATTTTAATTTAAGTTAATTTTTGCTCCCACTGTGCAAGGAGACTGAAGTTGGTGTACAAACTGACTTAATTTATTATTCTACTAAGAGTTTCAAATGTAAAAACAAATGGGGTCTCACTCGGCCACTGAAACTTAATTGAATTATTAACTGAATTAAATAATTAACTGGATTAACTAGAATTATTAACTGAAACTGTTAAGAATTCTCAAACTATTGCGTGCAGATTAACTAAAGATATAAAAACCTCAATTACAACAATTTGATTTGATCACTATTCAAGCAAAAAATGCACAATTTACAAACATATAAGAATACAAGTACTAAGTTCACCGAGCCGGGTAACAGGGCGAGAATATATTTATATATATATATACGTTTGGTGTGATCGCTCGCAACAAAAAAGGGAGACGCACAGCGACATATTGTAGCAGTCCCATATACAAAATTTCAACATTCTACGCCTACTCGTTTTTGAATTATGCAAGATCATACGTACCTATGTACAGACGTAACGAAAAAAATCTTTTCTGAATCCACTTTAATCCATTCTTCAATCGCTTTTGGAAAAAATCTGATGTGTAGACCACATGACTTCCTTGTACGGAATATTAAATTATACGCATTTTTCCTTGAATTTCATTTAAATTGATTGGATTGAATTAAATCTACTTCGTCGACAGCGCATAAACCACAATAGAATAGTTTATGGTTTATTAGATTATGGCAAAGCACTCGAGGGCTATCTGCCTAAAGGGAGGGATGCCTTCGTGGAGGACTTTTGAAGGGAAACTGGCTCGTATACACGTTACACATGGGGAAAACCACGAAAACACCCATGCAGCCAGCCTGTTCGCGGGATTCGAACCTCGGACGGAACTACCAGTGTTCAGCGACGTTACCGCTCGGCCGCTGGTGGGCCACAATAGAATAAATGCACTCTTATTTGTTTACTATAACGACAGTCTTAATGTACAGAATTTATATCATTTGAAGAATTATCGTTGCCACATGTTCCATTCAAATACTATAATAACGCTAAAACGATGTATGAAAGAAATTAAGCAAACAAAACAGAAAAGAAACAGTTTTTCACAGACGATTTAGTATTTCTCATTCAATTAATTCAGCTCTCACTTCGCGACAAGGCAAAAATACATAAAAAATCACGATATCAGCATTAAAAATTACGAAGTAAATCTTAAACACTTATTTCCTCGAAAAAATTCCAGAAAGGATTAAGCATGATTTAATTCGCAATAATAAATGAAGGCGTTATTTTTGTTTGCGAAGCTAGTCTCTCTAGATTGGCAACAAAATCTACAATTCTGCTGCTGTTTTCAAATGTAAACAAATATGTCCGCCATGTTATTTAAAACTGAACCGCACTTAAACAGCTTTTAAATTGTTGATAATTGTACAAATATTGCTTCCAGAATTACGAAAGGCATAAAACCTTAACCGGAAGATAAAAACAACATAATTCAATCATTTTTAAAGCAAAAAATGTACAATTTACAAACATAAAAGAGTAAAGATACTGAGATCACTGAGCCGGGTAACAGAGTGGATATATATATATATATATATATACGTTTGGTGCGGCCGATTGCTACCAAAATACGAGGTGCACATCTACATGTTATAGCAGTCCTATATACAAAATTTCAACGTTCTGAGGCTACTCGTTTTTGAGTTATGCGAGATATGTACGTACATACGTTCGTACAAACGCCACGAAAAATTCTCTTCAGAATTAATTTTAAAGCAGTTTTATAATTTTTTTGGAGTAAACGAGTCTTTTTTTCAGTCCTTACGTACAGATATCACGCAAAAACATCGTTAAATTGCATTCGATAGCGGTCAAAATGGATATTTTCGTTGAAATATGTTGCCTGAAACTTTTCGCGATTACAATACTTCCTTTTTACTTCGTACAAGGAAGTAAAAAGAGTACTTCAATATGCCCATACGTATACATGTAGCGCAAACAAATCATTCAAATGGATTCGAGAGCGGTCAAAATGGCTAGTTTCGTTGAAATATGATACGCGAAATTTTTCGTGATGACAATGAGTCTAATGACAAAAGCCTGCTTGACTGGCCAGTCTAACGACTGCTTGAAATTTATATCTTTGTAGAAGTATTGAATTTTTGCATGTTGTTTCAATTTTTCTGTAAGCGATGAGAACTTTTAGTCCTCTGCTTACAGGACTGTGTGTTGTGTGCGCAGGCCAGACCTAAAGGGGAAGGTCTCACCCCTTACCAGGGCAAGAAACGCTGCTTTGGTGAATACAAGTGCCCCAAGTGCAAGAGGAAATGGATGAGTGGAAATAGTTGGGCTAATATGGGTCAGGAATGTATCAAGTGTCACATCAACGTCTACCCCCACAAGCAGGTAATTATCATTTAGTTGGCCTATTAACAACAGACAAATAAGTTTTGAAATTTAACTATTAATATTAATATAATTATTATCGCGATAGTTTTCTGCCAGGCAAAATTAAATTATTAACTTTTTAATGCATATTTATTATTTATTTGTATATTAAAGAATGATTTCCGTTTTTGTTTGACGGGAAGTTAGAAAAATGAGTAAGATATATTAAGTTTATCCCCTTGGATGAAATGCAAAACTGATTCCATTTTTTTGTTCTTTTAATAATTATTACTTGGTTGTGATTTCTGTAACTTTTTTAAATTTGATATTTTAATAGACTGCATTAATTTCATTGTTTAGTATAATTTTTTATGTATAAATTCATTTTAATTAATTCATTATTCCATGCATTTTACGATAATACTTTATTTGTCCAAAAGGGATCGAAACGGCATTTTTCTTTGAAACACTTAAGTATTCTATTACTTTTCAAGTTGTTGCCACCAAATATTATCGCCTTGTGTTATATTAAAAAAAATAAATAGTAAAGAATCTTCATGAATGTACACATCCCGAAAGACTAAATGGGTCGGAAGAATGTGGGATGAAATCATACTGCCAATAACGGGTATGATACCCTCTACTCCGCGGCCGCCAACCAGTGTGGTCCGTGAAAAATTTTTGATCGTCCGCAGAAAAATTAGGACATAATTTATGCATTTTTTACGGACATGTTTCACTCATTTTCACTCGCTCAAAAATTTTGTTTCACTCACTCAAAAATTTTTGTTTAATAATTTTCTTTATTTTTTTATGGTTTTTCAGATTTAAATAAAATAGATAATAAACTCATAATGAGTGTGAAAAAGCAAGCGAATATTTTGCATTTCTTTAGTAAAACTAAAGATAGAATAACTAATGAAAATAGTATTACTTCACTTAACAGAAAGGTGATCAATGATTCAAAAGCATCCACATTCCTCGTCACAATCAGACAGCATTAGAGAGAATGTTCAAACTGGAGGCGAAAAAAAATATAAATAAAAATAAAATTAAAAACCAAAATAACGAGAAAATGTGATTCAGACTAATTGAAATTTTGATTTATTCCAGAACCCGGTAGTTTGCAGAATCCAAGGCCTTTTGTATTACCTGTTCTCAGTGTTTATCTAATGATGCCATGAAACCTTCCAAACTCGAAAGACACTTGAAATCAAAACACCCAAGTTTAGCTAAGAAACTACTTGAATATTTTCAAAAAATGTGTGTAAAGATGCAAAAATAAGTAGGTGCCTTAAAAATATGGTTGTTTAAGGTAAGTCCCTATCGAAAGCTTTCTATCTGATAGCACTTCAAATACAGAAAAACAAAAGGTCATATACGATTGGAGAATTATTCAAGCCTTGCGTATTGCATGCCTGTGAAGAGGTCTTTGGAAAAAAAAGCTGTACAGAAATTGAAAGTGATAAGTCTGCTTACACTGTTAAAGCCGAAAATTGAAGAAATGACTAAACTTGACTGGACATCTCTCAGGAGTTGTTGCAAAGATGAAAAATGTTAGTCACCCAGACTTTCTGTTTACACACTGCATTACACGTAGTGAGCATTTGGTGGTGAAAAAAAAATGTCCCCAGAAACTATAGCAAGCATTACCAAATGTTATTAATATCACAAATGAAATTCGACACAACGTGCTTAATTCTCGACTATTTGAAACAATTTGTGAAGAAATTAGTTCACAGTATACTCACCTTCTTCACTCGAGGCGCAAAATACTGACATGTCTGCAAAGAAATCAAATTATTTTTCAACAGCAAAATAATCCGGAATTTCAAGAACTCTTGTCCGACGATTTGAGTGGGTAGCAAAGCTGGCATGCCTGGCAAATGGTTGTTCTCTGTTAACCGAACTAAACATATGCAAGGACATCTTAAGCACGTGTTTACAGTACGAGTAAAATTGATGCTTTTCAAAACATTTCACTGTGGCAAACGCTGTAGAAGGAAATCTACAAATGCTTATAAATTTTAAGGAAAATATGGAAGAGAACGATCTCAACCAGCAAGTGGTATCCATTATTCAACAGCACTTCCAGTCGCTGACAGAATGTTTTGGTTTTTATTACCTAAAGCTAGAAGATCCTAGGCATGGAGTTATGTGGATAATAGAGATTCATTTTCAGCAAACGCTGAAGATAGCAAATTAAGCATGAATGAAAAAGAAAGCCAGAAATATATCTGTCTTGCGAGACAGTTTAAAAACTAAATTCTAGTCATCTTTATAAAACTTCATTATTGCCTCTGTATAAAAAATGAATACCCATCAAAGAGTAGAAAAGCTATGAAAGTTTTAATTCAATTTTCAGTAATATATTTGTGCGAAAATACATTTTCTTCTGTAACAGCTGTTACAACTCGGTACAGGTCTCGGCTTGAAATAAATGTAAATAATTTTTCATTTCTTTCTTTAATGTGTGAATTTCGCATCATTAAAATCAAAGTTTTCTCATTATTATTATATAAATGTATTTACCATTTTTTTTCTAAAATCATATTAGTGGTCCGCCAAAGAAGAAGTTATACATTTAATGGTCCATGAAATTCTAAAGGTTGGTGACCGCTCCTCTAGCTGAAACGTAGGCTTGACAACGCGGGGAGGTAAGCTGGCAACAGTGTCGTTGATCGCTTCTTTTGGCAGTAGCGCCCATTCCGGTAGTACTGCATGTCGGAGATCGTTGTGCCTCGCGGCACACCGCAGCCTGTTATCCATCGTTCCAACGTGTTCAGCTCTCTATCTTGCACCAGCTTGCAATATCCCGACACCCTCTAACGCATTTCATTGTGCAAATGGTGTCTTCGGCTGGTGCTTTCGGCTTTGGTTATCTCGGATTAAAGGGAACCATCCCTGCTTATGAATTGACGCATAGGTCCGGCATGCCTCTTTTTTAGACGTTGTAGTATGTCTGTGGGATTGCATTTTATGCTAATTTTAGTTAACTATTTACATTCGGCGATGTATGCTGTAACTCATACGTAAACTGTATGTTTTAATTCCCTTTCTTACATTCGTACCCTTCTTTCAGCGTTTATTGCTTATTTTTTTAACACAAGTGTATTTTATTACCGGCATTAGTAATACATTGCTTTAAAATAACAGTGTTTGTTAAGTGATATTGAAATATAAATGTCCCAAACTTTGCTGAATGGCAACACACTGACGGGCCGAAGTTAAAAATGTTTCATTTCGAGCAGTTGTTGTATATTTGTTTTAAGTTGCTGAATTTGTTAATCAGAAATACATTAACATTACAAAACATTTAAAAAATAATTAAAATAAAAAAAAAAAACAAAAGTGAAATTCGAAACTCATGATTCGGCCTTCGAGATACACATGTTCCGGTCAAACACTATGTGTTCAAAATTTGGTACCTCTAGTTGCCGGTGTTTTGCTGCGCTGGGCGAGGAAGAAACAAGAAAACATACATACTTTTAGAATCTTCCTTATTTGCTAATACAGAAGTGTATTTTTTAGCCCAAAGGACGTTAGCCCAGAAGGGCTATTAATTTCGTTTTGGCATTTTGCGTTAGTTCACTATAAATGTCGGTTCACGTTTGAAATTGTTGCCACCAAATATTATAGCCCTGTATTATATTTAAAGAAATTAAATGATCAAGAATCTGCATGAATGTATGAATGTTTCTCGCACTGTGACAAAACAACGGTACCTAGAGCCATCGAATTTGGAATCACATAATCCTCCATCAAATACGGGCATCAAGGAAGCCCAAATTTGGAATTTCTTTTATTATTTGGAATTAAATTTGGACTTTGTCATATTTTGTAAAGCATTTATGAATTTTCGATTAAGAAACTCAACGATTTCAAAGCGAGCAATGGCAACACTGTAAAAAAAAAAAAATATCTCCAGCACGCGAGGCAGTGTATCGGAAATTCTAAAGACATATTCATTTTAAAATTATTTTGCGATATTGCTGTTGCATTGAATTTTATGGTTTAAGTGCGAAGAACATGATATTTAATACACAAAGGCAACACACAAAACGTTAAACTAAGCCCCTTTGGGCGTGATTGTAAAATCTGAAAGCTTTCAGAATTTTTTTTTTTTAATTTTTACTTTTAATTAATGAAAATTTATACTTTTTTTTCAGCGTCCTCTGGAGAAACCAGACGGTTTGGATGTATCCGACCAGAGCAAGGAGCACCCACAGCATTTGTGTGAGAAATGTAAAACAGTTGGCTACTACTGTCGGCGCGTGCAGTGATTTTTATGGAACCCCTCACAAACTAGATACAAAATCAAAAACCTCTATGCAACGCAATTTACACAATGTTAATACCTACTACTTAAGATTCCATTTTCAAACCTATTTCACATAGCAGTATTTTGTCCATAAAAGAGTATAACAATTTGTTCAAACTTCAAATTGTTAAACATCTCAAGGCACAACTTTTAGGATAACCAGAACTGAAACTGCTCTTTAAAGTGTTATGTATAATCTTGAAAGTGCTTCGGTTGAAGGAGAAGTGTTTATATTGAACTGCAGGTTGAAATAACTGTTTTATTTCTGGTCCTCTTAAGCTCATAGCACTTAGTATTCATCAATAGCAAAATAACAGAGTATAGAAATATAATCAATAACTTAATATAAGGTCTATTCAGATGCAAATATACTCAGCTATCTAAACCTGGATACTCATCTTGCCGTTTATATTTCATAATATCAAGATATTCAAGGATTATTTTGCCATAGTTATCAATACATTAATTCCATTGAACAAGATTTTTTTTTTGTGTGTGTGTTTAATTCGTTTACTTTTTAGGTTCGATGATTGTTCGACTCGAAGTGGATATGAAGTGTGCCTTCACTGGGGCAAACTTAAAGAAGACGAAAAGCGACCTCTATCAATAATAGTACATATAGTATCCCCAAATGTTCTGAATGGCCTTTATTTTCGCAATGTTTGGTCGTAAACATGTACTAATACTTCCACTTCCAGTTACAAAAGTGGTTTAAATGACGAAAATACTCACGTTTTGGCAATTTTAGATTGAAAAAAATTAGTTTTGGACAAATAATGAATGCCAACTTTTTATGTGATCAACCGATCAGAATAATTATAATTAGAAAAATTTTGTACTCATTATAAATATATGTAATTAATGAGTACACCACATGATTTCCATGTACTGGCTATTAAATTATACATATTTTTCGCTGCATTTCATTTAAACTTATTTCTTCGAGTTTCATTAGAGACGTATTTTTCATCCAATCAATTCAGTTCTCACTTCGCTGCAGGGCAAAAATATGTAGAAACTCAAAACATCTTCATGAAAAATCGTAAAATACATCAAATACAGCTAAAAACTGTAATAAAAAAAATTAGAGTTAAAAATTAGACTTTCTACGTCAAAACAAACAATTCGGCTAGCGGGCAGGAAGGCAACATTTTCCGTGCACAAAATTGAAAGTTAACTTTGGTCTCACTGGGCAAAAAGACACTGAAGTTGGTGCACCAGCTGACTTAATTCACTGTTCTATTAAGAGCTTAAAATGTAAACAAATGTCGGCCTTGTTAAGCTTAGTGCAATTTAAACTTTTAAATTGTTGATAATTCTACAACTGCTGCATGTTAATTAACTAAAGGCATAAAAACCTTAACCGGAACATTAGCCCAACATAATTCAATCATTTTTAAAGCAAAAAATGCACAACTTACCAACATATAAAAATAAAAGTATTGAGCCTACCGAGCCGGATAACAGAGTTTCAATATATATATATATATATATACGTTTGGTGCGACCGATTGTAACGAAAAAGGGGAGGTGCACAGCGATATGTTGTAGCAGTCCCATAATACAAAATTTCAATCCTCTAAATCTATTAGTTTTTGAGTTATGCGAGGTACAACGTACATACGTATAGACGTAACGAAAAACAATTCTTCTGAATCCATTTTAAATCTCTTTTACAATCTTTGTTTTGGAAAAAAAAAAGAGTACTTTATTCTGTCCGCACTTACAGATGTCACAGAAACCTCGTTGAAATAGATTTGAGAGCGGTCAAAATAGATATTTTCATTAAAATATGATATCCGAACTTTTTTTGCAATTAAAATATTTTCTTTACTTCGCACAAATAAGTAAAAATGAAGTAACAAACGGTTGATTTCCGGACCGCAAAAATTAACAAAAATATTTAATTTTTAAATGTGCGATATCTGAAGTCATTTTTATCTTACATTATGAGATCGGTTAATACAACCTTAATTAGAATAAGTCAAGACTGATTTTTTCCCCCTTAAATTCCATTCGGAGACATTCGTTTGGAATCAAAAAAACCTTAATATTATTATAGTTATAATTTTGTTACAAATGATATAACGATATAAATTTTGCAAAAATAATGTAGAGTCAGTACTTACTGTCCAGGAATATGATGTATGTGAACTTATTTCCGAAGATGAGATTATTTACAGATGAATAGAAGTAACCGTCTTTTTACCTTCAAAACACCTTTCAATCGCGTAATCGTCTGTGTTCTCTCATCGGAAAGAAAAGATTTATTTTCACAGCTTGCCGCGTCATCCGATTATTATCGACGACGCCATTCTACAATAATTTATACGTTTTCTAGCACTACGCTGTAAATACATTATTAATATTCTCATGAAATTTTATTACTTTGGAGATGTTACTCGTAATAATTCAAAATATTTTTATTTTATTTAGATAATGTAACGAATTAGTTACGGATCAATACCAGTAGATATTCTGTAGAACACGAATTATGTAACGTATTATGAATAAGATCTCCTTATTAAAAAAGAATTTACTGATAAATACTTTTCACAACAATTTGCGTAGACACACTTGTCATTTAATCCAGTAACAAAATAAACCTTTTTTCTAAATTCTCATTTAATTTTTAATTTCATATAAAGGAAACTTTTCTATCTTTAATTTATATACGGCTCCTGAATATAATCACTAATGAATTTTTGTAGTACGAGGGTAGACATTGTTTTTTATTTTTTTATAAGGAGTATAAATGTTTCCTAAATGTAAATAGAATGACTGAAATAATACATAAAAAAGTTAGATTTCTTAATTTTTACAATTTTCTTTAAGCCAAAATATGAATATTTCCATTTTTTAAAATCTTTTTGTAATTAGAAGTGTATGTTTACGACGACGATTATGGAAATAAAGGCCTGATAAATAATTTTATGAACATGGTGATCTTACCTTATGTTAGAACTATTCGCTGAATACTTCATTGATATGTGGCAAAATTTGATGAAATGAAGACGAGCGTTGTCATGCAACAAAACCGTTTTTCAAAACATCCTTGACTTCTTCTTCCAAAAATAAATGCTTCGGTTTTCCATAGATTCTTGTTGGTTGTTGAGTTTTCAGCACAGAAGAATTTTACGATAATTCTCAGCTTTTTTTTATCGCATTAATCTGATATAAAACTATTTTTTCGACCATTCAAGTGATTTTCGCTTATACCAATCCAGCACCCCTCCAATGCAAGAATCTTAAGCAAGGTTATGAATTTTCCCTTATAAAAATGACAATCATAGTTTATACCTTTTCATTTAAATGACCTTAACAACAAGTACTGTAATGATTAGAATAATGTGTAATCTGTATAGAAAATAGGAGTTTTATCCAATAAAAAAATGGCTCGTAATATTCCTGCAGTTCTTGCTGCATTTCATTGTAAATTTGCTAAAGTTGAATTATGGTTAACTGAAAGATAAATGAAGATAACCGTTTTTCTGCAATAATTCCATAACCTAGCCCACACATAAATACGAGTTGCAAAGTTATTCATAAGTTCATCAATGTTCTCAGATTATTAGTTTCAATTTATATACTTCAAAATAGATACAGAAATAGTTAATTACAATAAATTTAGGAAAAATAATAATCTTACCTTAAACATATGAATTTTCCGTAAAATCATCTTATAAGCGTTATCTCGTAGGTAATTTTAATTAAAGAAATTTTGCAAATCTAATATTCAGTTATATATTTTCAGCAGTTAAATTTAATGTTTATAGTGTTGCCAGAAACTATTTGTCAAAAGCTTAAAAAAATTAAGAAAATTATATTTTTAGCCAACAAAGAAATAAAAAAATTTTCATGGAAACAAAATAATTTATTCTTTAGTAAAAATTTGCAAAATTTCTTTAATTTAGTATGCTTTTAACTGAATCCTAAAACGATAGATTTTTACATTTAATTCCCAGATTTGGAATTTAATGCAATATATTTACATACATAAGAAAAGATGTTTTAGTAATTTTTCTTCTACATTTGAAATTAATTGCTGCTGAATACTTTAGTGCAATCTAAAGAACAATTTAATCCGAAAATAAAATTTTAGCAAATTGCTTGGCGTCTACAGAGAAACATTTGTAAATTTTAACGCTTTTTTAAAAGTCATAGAAATGCATGATGGTTTTTGAATTCCATTCTATTATCATTTCCTATTATCCTCCTATTCATTTTTTTAATTTTATTGTGTAATTATCTTAGTTCGAACCTAAAAATATATTTAATAATTTAATGTCATTATTTTTTTTATTTGAACTTAATTTCTGCTGAAGATTTTAGCGTAATCTAACAGAAAATGTAATTTGGAAGCAAAATTTTAGCAAACCGTTTGGCTTCCATAGCGAAAAATTTGTAAACATTAATTTCTTTTATAAATCATTGAAATTCGTGATAGTTTCTCAGTTTTATGCTACTGGTCATCTTCTAATTGTAAATTTTTAGTCTTATCATGTTATTATCTTATTATCTTTAGTTTGAACTTGCTAATAATATCATTTTCTCAGACGCATGTTTTATAATGATAACTGATTTAAAGTGATAAACGTGCAAAAAAGGGACATATTTTAATGTATTAGTTAGGAGTATTATACTGTATATGGAATAAGCAGTACTGAGGTATGTATATCGTCAATGCTCTGAAATACCAAAGAACATATTATTTTATATTTATGTACTTTTAGCAATTTTTCCGATTTTTAGTATTTAAGTATGTACTTATATATATCGAAGCGAATGCTAGGAAATGATAGAATATCATAATAGGTAGTACTTTTTTTGACCAAATACTGCATCCGCTAATGCTTTACTTGTGTTTCTCAATTTATATGAAATAAAATTTTTCATTTAGAGTTTTTTATTTTTGAAGTATTTGTTTTTTCTTATTAAAATTTTGATCTGTTAAATGCTTGTTATTAAGTTTGTGTGAATTTTAATTAGATTAGGTTCTGTGCATTATTACAGTAAATGTGCTACTCGTGTTGCCACTGCGTGCTAAAATTTTGATTTTTAGTAATTTGTGTGCTATATCGTTTCTTGTTAGTTCTTATTCTGGTAGTCATTATCGTTGTTTTAGACTGCGTTGTTTAACTTTGTTGTTAATATTTAAATTTTTACATTGGTTTATATTCTGTGTCATTGGAAAATTTTTATCTATGAAATGATATGAATTGTATATATTCTGGTTTTGTTTTAAGTTATAAGATTAAATTTGTATATTATGGAATTATACAAGAAATTTTTCTTTCTTATTCCACGTCTTTTGTGGAAACATATTTTCGAATGTAATCTAGTAAGAGTTTTCAATATTATTTATTATTTTGTTTTTGAATCAAGTTTGTTGAACCTTCTTTGTCCTAAGACAAAAATAAAATGAAATTTTGACACTGACTGTAATGCAAATTTATGTTTTCATTAATAAGATGTATTGAAACGTTTATCTAAATACATAAGTGATTGTAACGAATTAAATTATCATCATACCATACAGAATACATCTAATTTAGATAAGAAGATATTGAAGATACTGAAACATATTATCAAGAAGATACTGAAACATTTTTTTTTTCAAATGAGGATTATGTTTTCCTTTTGCTCGAAGTACACGAATTGGAAATAGAAATAAATTAAATAAATTTACTCCAGACTCTAAAAAGTGAACGTATAATTTTATCAAACAAGGCTTTGTAATAAAACCTTTCGTAACGGAAAACTCTGTCATAAAATCAGGGAATAACTTATAAGCAGTGAAATAATAGTTAACAGATGTCATGAAAAATCATAGCCTGACAAACATTATTAACTTATACTGAACGTAATTTAATAGTATGAACATTTCATGCCAATCAGAGTCTTAAAATAGCATGGCATATGTGAAAATAAAAAAATACTGCTATAAAAGCGATTTAATTTTACAAAAAAATTTGTTAATGTGTCAGAAATTACTTGAGTATTTTAACATGACTCTTTCTTTCCAGTACTGTATCCATGCGAATTAATAATACTTTGTTTTAAAATTAGTTCAAAAATAATCTAATTACATACGAATTAGCAATGTAATAATAATAAATAAATATGTAAAAATTTAAATCTCAAGGAATTTTAAAAGTACGAGGAGACTCATTATTAATTTGAATAAATTTCCTGAATTTCAGCAATGTAATGTGCATGCTGATAATTACTTTTCCTAGGTAAACTCGATCTCAACAGAATAGCTCATCATTTCTGAAATTGTGTAATGGAAAATTATGCTTTGCGGTAAAAACTAGCGAATAACTTAGTAGGGCCGGCCTAGTGGATATATTGGTTAGTAAAACTGGTTGGTGTATTTTGTTAGACAGTGCTAGGTAATCTTTGCTTTTATTTT